AAAAATTGATATATCTAGACATATTGGACCACCGAAACGCATATTTGGTGGAACTGATTAAATGAAAAAAAAAGAAAAAAATTTTAAAACCTCCCCCAAAAAAAATTTTGCGTTCGCCCCTGGGCCGTATGCATAAACCAGAAATATTACGTGGTTTGAGTTTTCCGTCGTATTACATGTTTTGCGTCTATCGTCGCACGACGAATCGATAACATAGAACGACAAAAATGTTTACTCCATATGTATTTGACAGATTCCAATGGAATTTGGTATTTAGGGTTTTTTGTCGTCATTGATTTCGAATATTAAGTTAAATTTCCAAAATTCAAAATGGCGGACGTCTTTTTACAGAAGCTAAGGATCGTTATGAAACTTGGTGTCTATGGGCGTTCGTCATCACTGATTTCGAATATTAAATTAAATTTTCAAAATTCAAAATGGCGGGTCCAATATGGTGGACGACTTCTTAAAAAACTTATAGATTGTTATGAAACTTGGTACTGGGTTTTCGCCGCAATTGATTTCAAAACTGATATTAAATTTTCAAAATTCGAAATGGCGTATTTTTATGATTGTAATGAAGCTTGGTATGCAGGAATTCTCTGATAACGAACATGGTATTAAATTTTCAAAATTCAAAATTGCAGATTCAATATGATGGACGACTTCTTTAAAAAAAGTATATATTGGTATGTAATTTGTAATTTTAGAAGTCACTGTTTTCGAAATTTTATACTAAATTTTCAAAATTCAAAATTCGGTATACTTTGCGGAACTTTATTTGTAACTCAAGCTAATAGTATACCAATTTCAACACTTTTTAAATAAAAAGTTGTATTTTGTTAAACATTACAAGTACTTGACTGACGCCTTACTGTCCATATTGAACCAACTGCTTTTTAGTAATAAGAACAAAATGAGCATCTTTGTCATCGTAATTAGTCAGTTTGTGACCCCTGGATATCAAGTTTTATTACAATAATTGAAAAAATTACCTCATCTATATTGAATCCGCCATTTTGAATTTTGAAAACAAAATATAAGTTTCGTAATCAGTGATCTCGAAAATGTCTGGATATCAAGTTTCATAACGATACCCAGAACTTTTCCTAAACCTCTAACTAATATAAAAATTTCAATACTTTTTTAATAAAAAAAGGCATTTTATAAAAAAATGTATTATAACCATTCTACAAACTATATTATTAACAAACAAGTAAGAAAGTCTAAGTTCGGGCGGAGCCGAACATTAAATACCCGGCGCAAGTATTAAATATGTTTTTTCACCTTTCCGAAACCTTCCGCTAGATGGTAAGCTGGGGTGTATCAATTTTGAGTAAATTAGCGTCCTTCAATTTCGAAATATTGAAGTTTCAAGCATTTCTGAAATTTACCGTTATATGGGAAGCGGCCGTTATTTTAGTCCGATTTCAATAATTTTCAACGTTTTGCTTATATGTGGCAAGCACAATAACCACACCGAGTTTGGTACAAATTGGTAGAACGGTTACCGATATACATATATGTGATCATAAGTGGGCGGTGCCATGCCCATTTTCCAAAATTTTACCATAAACGTATTTCTTGGTAAAGAATTGTTGCAAGTATCAATTTTGAATAAATTAGCTTCAATATTTACTGATTTATCGAAGATTTTGTATTTCTCTAAATTACCGTTATATGGGATGTGGGCGTGGTTATTGTCCGATTTTAAAAAGTTTCGGCGATTTTTTATGCTGTACCAAGGCCAACAACTGTGCCAAGTTTGGAAGAAATTGGTGCAGCGGTTACCAAGATATACACATGTAACCATAAGTGGGCGTGGCTACGCCCATTTTCCAAAAATTTATAATATTCTTATTTTTCGTCGAAAAATTATTGTAAATATCAATTTTGAGCGAATAATCTCCAGTAGTTACTAAAATATCGCAGTTTTCGTATTTCTGGAAATTACCGTTATATGGGAAGTGGGCGTGGTTAAAGTCCGATTTCGCCCATTTTCAATACCAACCTACCTTGGATTAAGGGAAACCTACATACCAAATTTCGTTAAGATATCTCAATTTTTGCTCGAGTTATCGTGTACACGGACAGACGGACAGACGGACAGACGGACAGACGGACGGACAGACAGACATGGCTTAATCGATTTCTTTTTTCATCCTGATCATTTATGTATACATTTGTCTATATCTATCTCGATTCGTTTTGGCTGTTACAAACAACCGTTATGTGAACAAAATTAATATACCCTTGTGCACAAGTGCGCTCGGGTATAAAAATAGCAAAATAATGTACTTACCTGACGCCTCACTATCCA